TGGAGGACAGGCCTATCATGGCCTTTATTGGAGCGTGTTAGTGACGCGCCTGAAGCTGTCTGTTCATTTCGTCTGCGCCGTCTGACGCGTGCGTTACCCTAGGCGTAATGATTGCCCTAATTTTGCCGCCGTTTCATATTTTTGACAAAACTTTTCTTTTGCCTCTATCTTTTCTTCACTTTTGCATTCCATCTTCTCGCTCCTTCTCTCTCTGAAAAGCTCATTCTTCTTTGAATCTGCCATTGCCTCATTCTTTCTTCTGGAATGTGAATATTCACATTGTCAACGGGCCGGGCCCGCCCCGGCTCGCGGCCGGGTTTCGGGCCGCCCACGGGCCAATTTTACATTCCTACCAATGTGAATTTTAAAATATGAATGTTCACATCATTAAATTGCTAATCGTTGAAAAAATATTTATAAGGGTATCAAAATTAAATATAAGGGCATAAGTGTCCAAGAAAATAGTGTAAATCAAGAAAATGGACTTTATGGAATAAAACTATACATACATGGGACTAAATGGGTTAAAAAATTCCTTCATGAACTTCTTGGGTTAAAACACTTCTAAATTGGACTTATCAATAAAAATCCCTTTTATATTTGGTATGGTATCTTTGCTTGTTATATTTTATATTTGGTATGATATCTTTATTTGTTATATTGTATAAACATCAATATATTGTATCCCATATTGGTGTATGATGATGTTTGATGATGTTGAAGATGTAGTTGATGTTTGATGATGTTCACAATGTTGGTGATGTTGATGATGTAGTTGATGTTTGATGATGTTTTATGATATTTTATGATGTTGGTGATGTTGATGATGTTTGATGAGGTTGAAGATGTAGTTGATGTTTGATGATGTTGGTGATGTTGTAGTTGATGTTTGATGATGTTTTATGATGTTGGTGATGTTGATGATGTTTGATGATGTAGTTGATGTTTGATGATGTTTTTATGATGTTGATGATGTTTGATGATGTAGTTGATATTTGATGATGTAGTTAATGTTTGATCAATGTTGATGATGTTTTATGATGTTGGTGATGCTTGATGATGTAGTTGATGTTTGATGATGTAGTTGTTGTTGATGATGTTGTTGGTGTAGTTAATGTTGCTGATATTCGGAAAGGAGGGAAATCTAAAAAAGACCTATAGTGAGCTTTTAACATTCAAATAAGACTTATTAGTCTACAAAATAAAAGGCAGGACTAAATAGTTTAACAAATTAAAATTTGAAATTTATTGGTGTTTTGCCTTTCTTATAAACAAGCTAGTTCAGCTTCTAAATTTCTCACTAAACAAATTTTAAAATTGGATTTTTGGCTCCATGGCCTTTACAAAATTGACTCGCGAATTTTTAAAATGTAATTCATTTTTTTATCTTTTAGTGAAAATTATTTTACACAACAAATATTTTACTTCCATTTGAATAATATTAGGGATTATAAAAAAAAATATTATGAAATGTTTCATGAAGAATTTTTATCCTGTGATTAGTGTATGGTATTTTATTATATGTGTAATCTAACGGTGAGAAATCTTTCATGATATATTTTTCATAATCCCTAACAGTTTTAACCGATCAACAATAGAAAATCAAATAATAGAAAATAAATACATCGAAACAAACAAAGTCTAATGTATTATAAATTTTGTTTTTTTCAATAAAAAGGATAAATTGCACGGTGCAGATGATTCGGCGATTGATCCATGAACCGCCTGTAAATTTATCTTCAATAACGATTGGTCTGTTATATAACTTAACTGACCAACCGTCAGTCCTCTTTCTCTCCATAAGCAACTTCGTCTTCTCAAGCACGATCGACCTCTTCTACTCAAAATTCACATCACTTTCTTATTCTAATCACAAACTCTAAGGCCACCGAATCGACTTTCTCGTTGTCTTCACACCTTCACTTCACTTCACTTCACTTCACTTCACATCAATATCCAGGTATATATACATATATTGGTACGTGTATTCATGAAGGATTTATGTAGGTTTTAACAGATCAATTGATGTTTTTGATTGCAGAGATTTGAATGATTTGATTTTTTTTATTTTTTCGGGGCAGATCTCAGAGTTGAATCGACCATGTTTACGCGAATTGTCGGGAAGCCTAAGAAGGAAACAAATGCCCTAGCAACTATAGACAAATTAAACGAGGTATAATAATTATTACTCATCAGATATTGTAACCATGTGTTCTTCTATAAAATTTGGTTTCTTTATCTATTAGGTAGATAGAACATACAAAATCAGGTGGAATTTCTAAAATTTGAAGATCCATAAATATATATATATATATATATATACTAATAGTGAGTACAATATGAAACTGATACGGCCATACGTCAAAATCTAAAAATTTAAGACACGGATATGGCTCGGATACATCAATAATAATAATTTTTTTAAAATATTTTTATTGTATAAGATAATAACTGCAATTTCAAAGGCGCTCAAAAGCAATCATGACAGCAGTAGATGAGGTGCATTCAAAGTTTGCACCTCCATTGGAAAGAAGGGGAAAAAAAAATGCATGCAATTTGCCCCTTAATTTGTCATGGGCTCTATCGTGTCCTTCCTCCACACGCCAATTGAGATTATTATTTTTAATTTTATTTAGTATATGTATTCATGTGCGAGAAAAAACATTTTATTAATTAAATGATATTGAGGATATGTATCATACGCATGTCAGTGTCTGATATGTATCGGATATGAATGATTCAACCTATTTGAAGTATTTTTCATTTATGGTATGTAATTGGTTGATTGCTTGATGAAAATTTTGTTAATTGCTATGGCAAAACTATAATGTTGTGCATAAACTTTGGTTGATGTGAGATTGTCTTATGTGAGCTTAATTGGGTCCAATTGTGGGCTATTTGTATTAAGCTGATCAATCTCAGGTGTGTTTGGGCTTGGCTTGAGCTAGATTTGAATACTGACGATGCTTACTGCTGGCAAACTTGTAAAACTTGCTCTATGTTTTAAACCACGTAACAATGCCATCAGATTCTACGCTGAATTTCTTCCAGGAGAGCAAAAAGTGAGTTTCGATTAATCTCATTGAAGTGCGAAAAATGGAAGATTATAAATCAATATAAAATCAAGTTATTTAATGTTTTTCTCTCATTGAAAGGAATCTCTAAAGTTTTTCCCCCTATTTTTGGAAGCAAAGACAAATTGAACATCCAGCTTAATATTGATTTTCTTGATCATTAGATACCTTTGGCTGAATTTTGACACCTACTCGTAGTTCAGAAGTACGGTAACGGCTAATTTTACATCTTCATATTGTCTATGCAGCTTGCACCAAAAAAGTACACATAGTGAGAATCTTGGATACTAGAAGAATTCAGATCATTGAGTTTACTACTTAGTTGTGATCCATAAATAGTAATCGGAAATAAATGTGAGAAGATGACTGAAGAAGTATGACAGTGTTAGGTGAATCTTTATTAGGAGTTTAAGATCTTCCTAAGTTACTTATTATATGCCATGTCATCTAGAAAAATTGTGTTTCTTCCACCATGAAAGAGTTGATTTTTCATTTCATACCAATAGAGTGCTTTTGGTCATCTTTGTTGCATGTTGTTTCTTTGGTTAAAAAATTGTTTTGGCACTATATGCAGACACTTGAAATGCTAGAAAAAAAGGAGAACGTACTTATAAAGAAAGCTGCTGCGGAGGTCGAAAAGGCTAAGGAATTTAGCCGAGTGAAAAACAAAAGAGGTATGATTAGAAATCTTAAAATATTTATTTGTGAAGGAACCATATTTGTGTTTGACATCTTGTTGGGGAATTAACACTATAAGATTTGTGATGTCTGTTCTTTTCCACTTGGTTGTGGAATTGTTAGTTTTATGATTTTTGTCTCTGGGTTATCTGCTGTGGTTTTATAATCTTGTATATTCTTCTCATTTAGTTAGTGCATTTGCATGTATTACAGTAACGGCATCATTGCCTCAGGATACACATAACATATCATAGTGTCTGTTTTGTTTTTTATTTATTAGAACAGGGAAAAAAAATACATAAACATATATCTAAAACCCCTTTTATTTTTTGATTTTCTCGTATGTTCTTTTGATATTTGGAACTTTCTTATTATAACCAATAATTAGGAAAAGGTATGATTGAGCAGGAGCATAGCATTGTGGTACTTTCTAGATTGGATCGTAAATGTTAATAGATTTATTGGTAAAACCATTCAGCGTCTGATTTATTTTTTTCTCTCTATCGAACTTCTATGTTAGTTCCTAGTCACCCATTAACATGAACAGATCGCACTTAATAATAACTTCATGCTTCCTTGTCTGTACTTTTGGTGTTTGGGATGTTCTTGACAGATCAACAATTCTGAAAGCATGAATAAGCACAAGCATGACATCGTTTTTGGATCTTAAATGTTAAAAAGTTGCGCTAGAAAAACCCTGTCAGCATGTTATTTGATTGTTTTCCTATTAAACTTTGCACCTCATTGCTGTTTGTTCAGCGGCAATACAATGTTTAAAGAGGAAGAGACTTTATGAACAGCAAATTGAACAGCTGGGAAATTTTCAATTGCGCATTCATGATCAGGTTCTGTTGCAATGTTTTACATTCGTATCATCAACTCATGTAATGTTCATGAGGAACTCTCTTTGAGTATGATGAACTTTGTGCTTAAATTTCAGATGATTATGCTGGAAGGTGCAAAGGCTACCACAGAGACTGTTGATGCTTTAAGGTCTGGAGCATCTGCAATGAAAGCCATGCAGAAGGCAACGTAAGTTGCAGATTATTGTTTTTGTAGCTACATTGATGTTGCTTTCAGTAGATTATATTACATTGACACCCCTAAGGTTTTTGACAAATATAGGGACAATCTCTCCATTTTCAAACCTATCACTAACGCTCCTTACCTTGAAAATATGCAAGAACACCCCTCATGGTAACAGAACACTAATAAATTTAACGGAATATGGTGACGTAAGCAATTTAATATTCTAAAAATACCAAAAATGACCGTATTGCGTATATGATCATTAATTGGACAAAAATACCCTTATTAGATGAAAATGAAAAGACAATTATGTTCGTAAAATAAAATGCAACATTTTAAATTTTTAAGCATCAATTGAATTAAAGGTTTTATAAAAATAAATTTACATTTTAATATGCATTCCCTGACTTATGGGTTCATTATAACTGATCCTCTTCATTTGAATAAATATTACCACTGTCATCCCCTGACTTTTAAAATTGCATGATAGTTACACTCATGCAGTTAGTCTTGTAGACGATTTGACCATAACATCAACATTTTATGCACTGAAGTGTCCAACTAAGGGGTGTCCTTGTATTTGGTAGAAACCTTGGGATGTTAGCCTAATTGATCTTATTTAACTTAGAGGGAAAATAGAAGAATCGTTTCATGTCCATCAACCTACAACCTGACAGAGGTGTCAATGTAATTTTTGAAAAAGTTGGGGGTGTCCCTTTGTTTGTCAAAGACCTCAAGGCGTGTCATGGTAACTTTTCATTTTTTTTTTATTAATTTGTTGTTGCCTTTGTAACTGACAATTTTTTAATTTAATTTGGAAGTATAGCTTGTTGTATGAATTGGTATCAGATTACCTGTAGGACACTTCAGGGAAAAGCTGATGGCTTAATTTGGCCATTGTTTTGTCTTCCATACAAATTAATGTTTTATCATCCATAGAATTTTTAGGATCAATTTCTGTTGCTTAGATGTAGTTACAGGGCTTGGAACCATGGCTAGTTATGGTGAAATTTGAGGTATCTTAAATCCTAAATACGTTCTTATGTAATGATCAAAATTATCTAATGCCACCCAAGTATGTGGTATTCATTTTCAGAAGACCACAGGACATGCCTTTATATGGACATATGGCAAGTCAGTTTTTTTTTTTGGAGAGAAATAGCATTTGTGACTATCACATTCCAATTTTGTAAATCAACCTTTGGTTAAGCATTTGTAGTTCCAACATGTCCAATTGCCTCTACTTGGATGGAGGTGAGATGAGAGATCTTTCAGCATATCTGCTTTATGGTCAGAGGTGGAGCATTGTGTTTTATGCATCACTTTTTGCAAATATAATTTCTATGTGTATAAGAAGTTTCCTTGACCTAAAGTATCTCCAACGGCATCTTATAATGCAGGAATATTGATGATGTGGACAAAACAATGGACGAGATTAATGAGCAGACCGAGAATATGAAACAGATCCAGGAGGCATTGTCAGCTCCCATTGGTGCTGCAGCCGATTTTGATGAAGTATGTCTTTGCAATTTGTTTCCTTCGATTGAACTTCTTTCACAAATTATGATATGTTTTACAACTTCAATCAATGTACAGGATGAATTAGAAGCAGAGCTCGAAGAATTGGAAGGAGCTGAGCTGGAGGAACAGCTTCTCCAGCCTGCCACGTCTGCTCCTGCTGCCCCAGCACAAGTTCCAGCTGGCAGGGTACCTGCTCGTCCAGCTCCTCAGAAGAACACAGCTGAGGAAGATGAGCTTGCTGCATTACAGGCAGAAATGGCACTTTGAAGAGGTTACATACACTTTTCTGATCTTTCAATTTTGATCCTCAATGCACAACTCATGGGAAAGTGGCTATTGCATCCCACAATGTCATTCTCATGAGGGAGTCACTTTCCCATGAGATAGGCAAATGTTTCTGAGGGTTTTTTTTTTTTTTACACAGGTTTTGAAAGAAAAAAAAGTGTCAAAATACTTTTCATGTCCATCTTTGTTTTTGTTTTTTTTTTTTGAAAAAGTCCAAAAAAAATTAAAAATTTATATATTTTTAGCTTTTGAAGTCTGACAAGTCTAGTAGAACCATAAAGTCAAAAAAAATTGATTTTTTTTTTAAATAATTAAAAAAAAAAATTAACAACAAAGGTGCTAAAAAGCAATTGCCAAACCCAAGTGGTTATTTAAAAAAAAGCCTAACAACAAAGGTGCTAAAAAGCAATTGCCAAACCCAAGTGGTCTTTGGGCATCCTATGGTATTTTATCAGGTTCATTTTGGTGTATATATAGGATCCAAAATGAAGTCAATTTGGTTTCTGAAACATTTATTGCTGTATCATACAGAATCAAAGTAGTTTTACCAATGACTTATGAAATGCAGCGTCGCTTGACATAGTTTTGAGGATAGGCACTTTAATCATGTTGTCTTTATGTTCACCTTCTCGTGTACATTCCATTTATTAGACAACCGTTATTTCCCATCTTTCCTGCATTCTCCGTCCATGTCAAGTACAACTAGAGTCCACATTGCCTCCATGTATTTTGGTATATTTTCACGAGTGAAATAAGTTCTTAAGGCAGAATTTGGTTGGATTGGAGGATTTCTGTAATTGATGAAGCATTTAAAATCGTATGTCATGAGCTTTTTGTGTGGGTTGGAACTAACACCGATGCATTTTCTGTCCTTGCAGTTATCAACTCAAGTGGGAAGAGCTTGTATAAAAAGATTGATCTACTAGGCTGCCTATACTTTACATGCCCAAATTTAAGTTTCTGTGTACATTAAGTAAAATCGATTAATCTTAAACAGGGAGTATGCTGGGTGTTTTGAAGTGATCTTGTCATTTTCCATTTGCATGCATCCTTTGAACAGGTAATGAAAATTCTCCAAGCTTTAGAAATTTCTGAATAAATGTAATAGTTGACCCAAATTTATTTATTTATTTATATTATTATTGTTATTTGTTTTTGGCTTAAGAGGTTGGGTGTTTAGTAGGGGGAGGAGGACACGGGAAGAGTTTCAATGGAAGATCTTTGATTCTATATATTGCCATGAGTGTCCTTGTAATGAGATGAGGGTTAGCTTAGTTCTAATTTATAAATAAATAAAAGGAATTGCCTGCCTAACTTGTTGGAAAAAAATTGACTTGTGATTAAAAAATTAGTGTTGTGAGACACTTGTTAATAAAGTTGAAATTGTTGTATATATTTCATGAGAATGCGTGTCGTAAAGGATAACTTTTTAAAGCTTTGTTAACGAATGACCTTAGGTCATGTTTGTTTGGGTGGACATGAGCTTGGGATTGGACTAATAGTCCAATAAAATTATTAATCCGATGTTTGGTTAAACAATTGAAGTACGGACTAATTATTTTAAACTTGACTTTTAGTTAAGATAGGATACATAATCCAACGGATTTGTAATCCCAGGATTATCAACTCAAGTGGGAAGAGCTTGTATAAAAAGATTGATCTACTAGGCTGCCTATACTTTACATGCCCAAATTTAAGTTTCTGTGTACATTAAGTAAATTCGATTAATCTTAAACAGGGATTATGCTGGGTGTTTTGAAGTGATCTTGTCATTTTCCATTTGCATGCATCCTTTGAACAGGTAATGAAAATTCTCCAAGCTTTAGAAATTTCTGAATAAATGTAATAGTTGACCCAAATTTATTTATTTATTTATATTATTATTGTTATTTGTTTTTGGCTTAAGAGGTTGGGTGTTTAGTAGGGGGAGGAGGACACGGGAAGAGTTTCAATGGAAGATCTTTGATTCTATATATTGCCATGAGTGTCCTTGTAATGAGATGAGGGTTAGCTTAGTTCTAATTTATAAATAAATAAAAGGAATTGCCTGCCTAACTTGTTGGAAAAAAATTGACTTGTGATTAAAAAATTTTGTTAACTAGTGTTGTGAGACACTTGTTAATAAAGTTGAAATTGTTGTATATTTTTCATGAGAATGCGTGTCGTAAACGATAACATTTTAAAGCTTTGTTAACGAATGACCTTAGTGGCAATACTCATGATTTAATGGAAGATAAACCTAGGTAGTATGAATGCTAGAAATCAAGAATTCAAGCACAAAAAGCTATGAAGAAAAATTATATTTGGTTTGAATTCAACTCTTATGTGATGGGTTCACACTCAAAATTAATTTGAACTGTACAGTTTTTGTTTTTATATTTATTTTTATTTTTATTTTTGAATTTGTTTTTCTTCTTCTTCTTAATGAATAGCTGAGGTATAGATGAATGGTATGCTTTACTCTTCTTTTCAGTTGCATTACTGTAATGAAATCATTCTTAACTCATGCAAGTCACTGCTAAGCAAGCATGAAACAAGCGCGCACACAATTAACGATATGTTTATTACACATTATTTATAGGGCAAATTATTATCTCCTATAAATTCTCCCGTAAAGTTTGAGAAATTACAAATTGCTTTTGCATGTTATGTAAATATAAACTTTAGGGGATAATTTGTTATGCAAATATAAATTTCAATGGACGGGATGTAATTTCTCAAACTTCAGGAGAATCCGTATTTTAGTCAAACTTTGAGGGGTGTTGGTAATTTTCCCTTATTTATAATATACATTATTTGAAATTCTAGGAATAAAATGCATTTTTTAAATAATCCCTCTATCATTTGAATAATTCAAAGTTGAACAATTCAAGCTGCTATTTTTATTTTTCTTAACAGTTAATTGGTGACGCGGGTTCAAGTTACGAGAATCAGCAGTTTCGTTAAAAAGTAAGAGGACGGTTACCTAACTACTATCCCTTTCATATATATATATATATATTTAGAGTTAATATTAATATATACTTATGAAATATGAAAATATGAAATATTATATACTCAGTGGATGCTCAAAAAAATTTCACAGAGGATTTAAATACTCAAGTTGTGGAGTCAAGAAGTCATCTCAGCTGGGGCTTGGAAAAGATATCAAACTGAGAGGCATTGATTAGAACAGGATGCATGCAAAATATTCACGTAACTTGTGGTTATCAAACACAGTTATATTAATTCGTCCAAGAAAAAAAAAGAAGTCATTCTACAAGCTATAAAAAAAATAAAAATAATTATATTATAAACTCGGAATTATTGTTCTGAATTGTATCAAGAATCATCAATGTACGGTCAAGATTCAATCTATGAGTGAATCTCATAATACATATTCAAATCTCAGTCTTACTTTTTTTTGTTTTCTGAGTAAATATCTTGATCAAAATTTTGGGACCCTAGAGATTTTCTATGAAACACCAATTATTGAAGGTTTCAATGTCAAAGATAATCGGTGAAAATGGCCCACAAATTAATATGTTCTTGTACTGAGTTTAAGAAAATATCGAAGGGCCACATTGGTTCTATAACGTCAACTTATTTACTTTATTTGTTAAAAAAAAACATTGACAAATGGTGTAATTTTATATTATAATTTATTTTATTTTTTCAGTTTATTTGGCCAAAAAAAGAGTAAAATTTAAAATCCCATATAAGATAAAAGAGTTCCATTTCTTTTGTCCTAGTTATAATTTTGGGAGACTTATTTATTAGTCCTTTTTCGGATACTTATACTATGTTAAGTCTTGTGTATTTTTTTATAGAGTTTCAAGTCCTATTTAGATAGGAATGTATTCCACAAGATCCTATTTGCGTCACGTTACGTTTATGTAGGTGTCACGTTACGTTACGTTTATGTAAGTGTTATGTCACGTTATGTTTATGTAATGTCCCATCTCATATGGTCACGTTACGTTACGTTACGTTTATGTAGGTGTCACGTTACGTTTCGCAAACTTAATCTATGTTACGTTTCACAAACTTAATCTATGGTAACATTCAATTTCATATCTATATGAATGTGAATTTCAAAATACACGAACAAGTAACAGTTTCACATTCAATTTAAAAAATCAAAAACCTAGTAAGTTTGCGAAACGGAACGTGACATGTTACGTTACGTTTATATAGGTGTCACGTTACGTTTATGTAATGCTCCATCTGATATGGTCACGTTACGGTACGTAACTAATATTGAGTAAGGATGGCAATCTGAAACCGGCCCGACGGTGACCCGACCCCCCGACCCCAAATTCAGCGGTTATTCATCGAAAAATATCCCCTACGGGCCGGGGACAGTATTCAAAAATCAATCCCCGATGATATCCGGGCCAGGGACGGGGATATGTGTTTCAGAACCGGACCCGGCCCGGCCCCGGCCCCCGACCCCGGCCCCGCCCCGCATGGTCCCCGAGGTAAAATGACCCTTTTGTCCCTGGATATATATATAGGCATAAGCTTGTCTTTGTTAGGGTTTCACTTTCACAGACACACACACTCAAGCCTCCCACACTCACGCCGCTCCTCTCTCTTTCTCTCTCGCCACTGGTCTGTTCCTCTCTCTTCCTTCCGTCACCGCCGCGCCTCCCTCCGTCACCGGCGATCCTCCCTTCGTCACCGACGATCCTCCCTCCGTCACCACCGCGCCTCCCATCTCTGTTTAGGTATCTCTCTCTCTCTCTCTCTCTCTCAGCTGGATTTGTGCTTTTTTATAGATCTATTTTTTTTTAATCTATTTTATAGATCTGTCTATAGATCTGTTTTTTTTTGAATCTATTTTATAGATCTGTTTTTTTTTTTAATCTATTTTATAGATCTGTCCCTTGATTGCACGATTATGTTTTCTTACACGATTATATGTTATCTATGTCAACTTTGTAGAATAAATTAGAAAACAAATCCCTCCTCAACTTCTCCAAATTCTGATCATGTTGTCAAGTATTTGAAACCAAAAAGACCAACAAATCTTGAATAGCTCTTGCATGTCAGTGGTTGTAAAAAAATAAAAAAATAAAAAAAATGTCTCATTACAGCAAGGAAAATGTATTTAAAATTAATACAATAAATTAAGGTTTTCGAGATAAAGATTTAAAGATAAAATTACTTTGTAGAAACGAAACATTTTAGTACATGAAACATTTATATTTGATATCTTCTACAATTATATTTGAAATCTTCTACAATTATGTTTCAAACATTTATATTTGAAACATTTATATTTGAAAGACCAACATTTACATTTTAGTACACGAAACATTTTGTTTTAATCCCGCCACATTTTAGTCTCATTACAGCAAGATAAAATTATGTATTGTTTCAACACTATATTGTCTGGCTTTAGTTGAATTCATGAAAATGATTTTCTAGTGTTTTATACCACGTAGAGGCAGTGAAGTATGTTATTTTACATGCAACATGTTCAAGAATATGAAGTCCATAAATTAACGAAATTAGGGATTAAGATTTTATGGTGAGATAAAACTTTAAATTTATAGCTTAGGTAAAGCCTAAAGAGATCTATTAAATAAGAATTTGGACCTTTATAATGAATTCAAGATTTCTGCAGAATTGTTTTCCCGCCATGGTCTGTGTTTCTTTTTAATTGTCCAGTGCACTTATCAATCAATCCTATATACAATTAAATCATTATTTGAACATCCTAAATCAAATTCTGTTTACTACGTATAAATAATTTTGAAATGGTAGTTCAATAACCCTTTCGATATGACTTGTAAATGAACTGTGCAAAATTTTTAGTACATCAACATGAAAGCCTTTGGTACGATGATTGCCAATTTCTTAGAATGTACTCAAATTAAGGTCAGTGGCAACACATGTAGCATAACATAAGAGAGGTTTTATCTAGTATCTATCTTTTTTTCTTTTTTTTTGAAAGCGATATCTATCTAATATTATTTTCTCTGTTTAATCTGTAAATCATTGATATTTGGCTCACTACTGTTTCTTGAGGTGAAATTTCTACCTGACTTGTAACAATTGAAGAGCAAAACATAATCCAAAGAGAAATTCTTCTGGCATGGTTTTCTTGTACCACTGGGTCACTTATATCCAATATGGGAAAGAATATAGATGATTTTTTTGGGTTTTTTTTGGGGTAC